TCCTGCCTCGTCCTCTCTGCCACTAAGGCAGAGTCTCAGGCCAAGCCTCCCATCGTGAACGGCCTCTCATGGACCTTCTACGAGTCCAGCTGCCCCGGCGTCGAATCCATGGTCACGAAACATCTCAAATCCGTCTTCAAGAAGGACATCGGCCAAGCCCCTGCCTTGCTTCGCATCTTCTTCCACGACTGCTTCGTCCAGGTACATCTCTGCTACCCTCGTACTCTCTTAATTATCACGCAAAGTAGTGGCACCTTTCTGTGAATCGTCATTTTCTTTCGTTTCGTTCCGAGTCACTTCAATTCCTGTGTTTTGATGCGATTGTTAATGTGTATACAGGGGTGTGATGGGTCCATCTTGTTGGACGCGATTGCACCAAGCAACCAGAGTGAGAGAGACTCCAGATCCAACGGTGGCATCAGAACAGAGGCCTTGAAGACCATCGACGATATTAGAGAGCTCGTCCACAAGAAATGTGGAAGAGTTGTCTCCTGTGCTGACATCGTCGCTCTCGCGGGCCGTGATGCTGTTGTCTTGGTAATTAATCTCATCTCTCTTATCAAAGTTATTCGTTTCTCTCATCTTGATATCGTCTTCCGAGCTTATGTTTTCTCTTTCTGCAACAATAATGGCAGACAGGAGGGCCCAGCTTCCCAGTTCCACTAGGAAGACGGGACAGCCTCACCTTGAACTTCGACGAGACAAGCAACCTCCCATCTCCCTTCGCCAACACCACCGGCACCATCAAGACCTTCGACGACCAGAAATTCGACGTGACCGACGTGGTCGCCCTCTCCGGCGCCCACACCTTCGGGCGATCCCACTGCAACTCCTTCTCCGACCGCGTCTCCGGCACGAGCCCGGCTCCCATCGACCAGACCCTCCTGAAGAACCTCAAGGCCACTTGTCCCAGCGCCAGCTCACCCAACACGGCAAACCTCGACATCCGAACTCCCAACAAGTTCGACAACAAGTACTACATCGACCTGATGAACCGACAGGGAGTGTTCACGTCAGATCAGGACCTGTTTTCCGACGGTCGTACCAAGAAGTTGGTACAGAGCTTTGCGCTGGACGAGAAGCTGTTCTTCGAGAAGTTCACGAACGCTATGATAAAGATGAGCCAGCTTAGGGTTTTGACGGGGAAGCAGGGAGAGATCAGAGCCAAGTGTAATCTCAGGAACAGTGGGAAGAAGTCTATGTTGGCTTCTGTGGTGGAAAAGGCGGTTGAAATGGCGGAACAGTTCTAGATAATAATGGAGGCCACGGATACATGATGATGCACGTTTCAAGTCTTCTGTAAGTTTTACTTTAGATATCATCCCAAGTGCGAGATGTGAGACACTTTTGGGTGTTTGATCGTTTAATTTGGATAATAATTTGTGCAAGGTTACGTTTTGGAGGGTTCTAACTCTGGTACTGAGATATATATATATATATATATATATCTATGCTTCTTGTCGTTGTATGTGTGCAGTGTTGTGGTAATAACTAATAATTAATTAAGTTCATTTTGTGAATTTGAGCCTTGCAAAGTACAGAGCACATCTTGATCTTTTGAAAATGAACAATTATTACTACAAGCATCTTTGAAAAAATGGTGCTAAAGCACTGACAAGTACTAGTTGGATTACTCCACTTGGCACAGAACGCATAACTTGAGGATCTCTAGACGTTGAAAAGTCATGTGTGCTAAATCCTCTCTCCTTCACACAGTGGACTTTCTTTCTTTGTTTTTTTTAAAACAAAATACTCCAATCTTATTTTTTTTAATAGAAATGAGCCAATTAATTTTATTATATGAATATATAATATTGCTTCTAATTTATTGTTCTGTAGAGTCTAAATTACTATTTTCTCAAAAAATTTATATATTAAACAAAAGTAAAGTGAAGACAACTAATATAGTCTAAGGTGTTGAAAATACCTTATATTATAACCGCATTGCGCGCATACTACAACGTATAGAATTTAGACAACACACACACTCGCCACATCGCATAGTTTATAACAAGTTTTGTTATTTCTAAGCTGCTAACTGAACTACAGAAGTCATTTTTTGAACTTCGTGTGATAACATGTGGGGAAATTACAATAAGATCTCACTTGAAAGAATTAAATAAAAAAAGTCTCTTAAAATCATTAAATTAATTTGAAGTCTCAAAAGATTTCATTGCAAGAAAGTTTATTTGTTTAATTATCCAATTGTCTTTGTCTTTTTTTACGGTATGCATTGACAAAGAAAGTAATTAAAAACTTAAAGGTGTAACAATTAACAACTATTATAACAGATATTTTGACAATTGATGTTATATTTTTGTGATGTGTTGAGAAAATATGTTGTCAATACTTACCGTAATAGTTGTTAATCAATACAACTTAATTTGTTAATAACTACTCTTTTAGTTATCAATGCATACTTAAAAAAATAAGGATAATTTGATAATTAAATAAATAAAATCTTTTACAAGGAGATCTTTTGCCAAGGATAATTTAATAACTTTAAGAGATTTTTTGGTATTTAATTTTCTTAAGTAAAATCTTATTGCAATTTTCCTTATAATGTATGATAATGTGTTTCCGTTACTATTAAATTTGGTTAATTTTTCATTTATAGTTTTGATCATCTCTTAATTTTAATTTGGACTATTCTTTTCCAGGCCTGAGTCGTTGAGCCTTCACAATGCTTAGTATCAAATATGATTATACAAGATCTCTATTTTTTCCGAACATTTTAACACATCATATTTTTTATATAGATTTTGGGTCGAAGCTTTAGGAAATGCCAAGTAAAAAAACAAAAGAAGATAAAATCAATTTGTAATACAAAGCTAAATTTCACAGTAGTTCTGAAAAGGCTAGGCCAAAACAAAATTAAAATCTTTGATCATAAGTGCGGGGCACCGCTGGGATGGGAATATGAAAATGGATAAAGGAAAGAGTTGTGTCCTGTTGATAAGGTTCAGTGGTGTCCTGTCGTGTCACCATGATTCTCGTCTTTTTCCAATAAAGGCCTCGCCCAACTTGGATTTTTCTAAGTTTTTGGAAAAACTTTCCATTTTCAAATCATGCCAGCCACATTGCCCCAAAACTAAATTCAATATCATACTGTGTTCATACTATAGTTTTAGTAAATTATATTACAGAAAAAGTGTTGTGAACAGCGGAGTTGGTTCCCCATATATATATATATATATATATATATAAAAGGGGAATTAGATCCTAAAAAAATTAATTATAAAAAAATCTCAATAATAAGTAACCAACTTAAACCTATTTATTTTCTACTTTAAAATTTATTATTGTTTATTCTTTACTTGTTTATAGATTTTAAAGTGATTAAATTCCTTTCTTATTTGGCTTGGTTATAATTCTCCCCATATTAAAATTCATCAATTTAAATGCATATATGGGTCATATTTGCAGGGGGAAAGTAGAGGGTGAGGTGCATGCATACTGAATTAATGAAGCAGGCATGATTTGAATAACTCCATTTATGATTTGCAGCATTTAAGAATAGGTGGGCGCCATGCCTACGATACATGCCTACGTGTCCCCTCATTCTGATTTTTCTTCTAACCTGACCCTTCAATCAAGTGAAAGTGACTTACACAAAACCCACACACACACACACACACATATATGGATCTTCTGAATACGTTTACATTCAAATTATTAAATGGATTAGAAAATAATCTGGAAAAAGCTGGGACAAAGATGTAATGGTAGATGACATGGCTATGGATTTCAACTCAATGAACTATTCAAGTTTCAAAGGAAACTTAATATTCAAGATGAGAATGTGTGTGTGTGTGAAATCATGGAATCTTTGGAAGTAGTTTTCAGTTCAAACCAGGAAAAGATCAAGTTTATATTGCAAGTGGCAATAATAGACAATCGAACATATCGTTCACAGGTCACCAGAAGTTGACAATTATTTACGGCCAATATAAACTACTCGTGATGAACTTTCCTGTTACGTCTTCTTTCTTTCCAGAACTGAAATTTCTCAATATATATAATCAATTATCTTGGACCTGTGTATCATATAGAGCCTTTAGAACTTGATATAGAATCTATACGCACACACAATATACACTAGAGCAGGAGATTATAACGGCTATAGTTTATTAATGTCTATCATGATTAATAGCAAAAGCCTAGTATATACATGTTAAAACAGTGATTTACTTGTACTCTTCCGGTCCTAAATATAAGACCTTTTTTGTAGTGTAAATTGCACTACAAAATGAGTCTTATATTTAGAATCGGAGGAATATTATTATTCATCATTAATTTAATGAAGCTCAGAGTGTTTTATGATTCCTAAAATAGTTGAAGAGGAGTGCATTTTTTCTCATACCACGCACTCTGATTTTTCCCAATTAATTTTTTAAGTTACTATTAACAACTCATGATATATTATTGAATCGTACGTTATACATTCATGATATATATATATATATATAGACACATAATTGATTTGTCGTTTAACTATATATGTATATGTAAAAACTGGAGTTTGAATGTAGGACCTGACCGTGAGGATGAGACCATAATAAGGGCCTGTCCCAGGCAAAAGTCTTGTCGGCCACCAAGTTTGATTTTTAACAGTTTGGCCCTGTGGATCTCCTTCAGCGATACTTCCAAATGTTTCCATATTCAGATGCATCCCCCGGTTAAGCCCAATTTCATTCCCACTTGTTGGTTTCAACTTTTTTAAAAATATGATTCAAATTGAAAAATTAATTTAGTGAATAATAATACTCCTCCATTCTTAAATATGAAAATAATTTTTTAGCATAATTTACAATGCAAAATAAGTTCTATTTTTGAAATTATGTTGTTGCGTATTGATTTCAAATTTGTACTCAGTATTTCGTTTTTAGAAACATATTAGCTGACAACGGATTCAAATGCGTCTGAGGGGACATAATTCCCCCTTTTTTTCAAGCATGACTCTATGAGATGAGATCTACGTGAGAGAAGGGCCATGTCGATGGACATAATCTCAAAGCAAGCGCCTCCACCGAATCATGTGGGGATTGCACGTGAGAAAATTCTTTGAATTGGTCTGTTGTGTTATGAATGTAACATACAAAATGGCCAGAAGGAATTTCCTCCGAGTACCTCCACCCAATTTGGAAAATCATAACCTACGAATTATGAATGAATGAGATGGAATACAAGAATATCAATTCGTCAAGAGCTTGTTATTTTCGTTTTCATTATCAACTTGAGGAGATGGTTTTGGAAGGCCACGAGGCTTGGGAGGTGTGCAGGCAAAATTCTTGACAATGGAGGAGTAAACGTCAAACTCCGCCTTCAATTTCAAACAGCAAGCTTCAATCCACTTCTCTGCTACACTCGTGGATACGCTGTCTTGGCTGTCCCTCTCATGTTCTTCAATGGCTGGTCGTATTTCATTGTATAAGTTATCAAGAGCACAGGTTGCCTCATTCTTCATTTCCTGCAAATATGTCCGAAAATTCAGATAACAGCTCAACATAAAGCTAAGGACTTGCTTGGGACTGAGGTAGGGGGCACTAGTTGCTTGGATTGGGATGTTCTAGATGGATTCCTTTTCGTCTAGTTTCTCATTTGCTCTTTCTTTCACCCTCTCCAATTTTCTTTCCTTAGGTATCACAAGCCAGACGGTACATAAAAAAGCTGCAAGGAAAGTAATACCTCATATCTTAAAATCTCCTCTTGTGCTTCTTTTGATGCTAAAGATTCAGCAGCAGACTTCACATCGACTTGCTTCTGTGTGATGTTTTTAATGCTTCCGTTATATTTCTTTGATTTTTTGGCAGGTATGGACCTAGGTCCAATGCGATAGTTTCGGGCTGCAGTATTACTTCTGATTCGTGATATCATTGCATTGTTCTGTGGAAAGGCCTGCTGAGTATCTCTAGGGTACAATTTCATATCGTTACTTTCTACCTCAGACTTTATCGGATGGACATGTAAACCCTTCGTTGGAACCGATCCAAGCGGCTGAATGCCAAAAGCAGTTGACTCTGATAATTGTTCAGGTTTTATGACAACATCCGTTGAGTGTTCAATTTTCCCATTAACTTGCATACCAGGAATGTCAGGGTGCAAGTTTCTAAGGACCTTTGAGAGAGGCTCATCCTCTGCAGAGTCATAAACTGGAATTTTCTCAACGCTGTACCTGTAAACAAACTACAGATCGATGAACTATATCACAAGTGCAGATTGACAGACCTCGCTAACAATTATCTATTTAATATTCATACAGCCATTAATAACTGAATGACAATAAACAACAATTATGTACTTGATACTCACAATTAGACCTTACTAACAATTATGTGCTTAATACTCACAGCCACTAATACTTTAAATGAAGAATGCTAAAAGAAATTAAAACATTAAAACCAGGAGAGGGCATAAGATAAATAACACATTACCTTTCATCATCATCTTCCCATAAATATGTATCTTCCTGCTCAGAATTTCCACAAAAATCAAAGATCATAAGCAAAGACCACAATTAAAAAAAAAAATTTGAGAGAAGTAACACAAAAGGGAGGGGGGGATTAGACACAAATAACCATAACAATGACACCGAAGTAGGTTCAGTAAACCATTGACATATAAAGTTACTCTTTGCAGCTAGTGCAATGATTTTCCCAGTTAAAGTATCATTTCAGTACAGATTCTTCCAGATGAAAACAATTTAACATCAAAACAAAGGCATGCAAAGGGGAACACTCAAGGGGAAGGGAAGGCACAAAAAAGAGGGGAACAAATATTAGTTCGCAGCTACTATTGAAGAGTGAAGAAGATCGATACAAAAAATATCGAGAGGTTGATCTCCCAAAACCAAAATATAAAAATTACCCATTCATTAGCTCAAAAGGGCTTTCCAATATGACATGCTTGACTCTTAAATGAGACCAAAAAGGATTCACAACATCATCCAAGAAGTAAAATTCATAACTTAATAGGCCCGTAGTTATCAATTTCAGCTAAAAAAACTGTAGGATCACAGAATCAATAAGGTCATAGAAGCAAAAAACATCAACATTTGATGCTTGAATGTTGCAGTGTTATTAATAGATTCACAAAACTTGCCTGAAAACCACGAGATTTTGCTCCAAGGAATCCGGAACATTTGGCTGCACCACAGAGGCAACGAACCTTTGCACCACCAAACCACTCAAAATTATAATCATATGCCAGTTCAGCTCCAACAGGTATATCTTGTGTTGCAAATATTCCAACTCTTATCTCACCCAAGACATTCCATTTCCTTGTCTCACAATTTGGCTGACTGCAAACTTAACAGGTTTAAGTTGTCTCAAATCTTGGGTCAGGGAAAATATGGACTACAACAAAAAGCCAACAATATATGCATGGTAAAGGTTTTGCTTTCAAATTAGCTTTTATTTGAAAAGATTTACCATGAATGATTTATAAATCTACCAAGGCTTCCCTTTCTAGTTGCATCAATGGATTCAGAAGCGTTAAGACAAATAATGAATGCATCCTTAAGACCTGCAAACTAAAGAGAACTTTTAGAAAACAGGGAGATCAGTTATCAAATGGAACATCTAACAAGTTAATATTTGACCTTGAATTTCATAAGCCTGGGCTCTTCGCTTGGCTTCTTTCCATGAAATTACTTCTCCACAATATTCGATGATAAATTGGCCTGCCTGTAAAGAGATTAAAGCTTAGAATTATAAGAATACCTAATAAGGCATAACCAAGTCAGAAAATGCCACAGTAGCCATGAATTCAAGCAACAAAGTTTCATTTTCTAATTGAAAGGTTTTGCTGAAACTCATAACATGATTACCTTAATATTCTCATCAGCCAAAAGACCCCATCCCCGGCCTTCAGTTTTGAACAACTTTGTTTTTGCATATTCACACTTCTGAAATCTCTATAACCATAAGACATGGTTTAAAAGAAATACGAAGTTGCAGTTAGTTTCATTCCATATAAAGATATAATGCAGCATGACACAGGTTCAGCAAATGATAAAACCCAACACTTAATGGTAATTATTCCTTAATGAGAAATTCAAATTCAAATAAATATTTAGGACTAGCAGATAGATGTGCAACATGTCATAATAAACACATTAAGACATACAGTCTAGCACATAGTAATCAAAAGTTTCTTCTAACAATTAAATACAAGCAGGATTTTTGCAATAATACACTTTCTTTAGCTTGTTCAGCATGGTAAAAAAGGACTATATTCTACTCAGTACTTCGAAATTGAAACTATGACAATACTAAGGAAGATATAACCCAAAAACATTTAACATCAAAACAGACAAGCCTAAACATGCACCTGATTTTTGCAAAAGACACCACACGGGCAATAGCCGGGGGTGCATTCAGAGCTGGTCAGTACATTAAGACAGCCATCCCCACATGCACTATCAGGGTCGCTAGGATTATATTTGCATTCACATATAGCAATATCCTCCTCCCTCTGCTTCACATGCCTATAAAACAAAAAAAGAGAATTAAAAGAATGAGCACAACAAGTAAAAGAATAGTGCACCTCGTAAGGCTTCGTAAATCATTAAGATCATCTACGTTTCATTTCACTGAGTTGTTTGGATTGAACTTCCATTCAGGTTGGTTTTTCATCGGCAGCACCTCCTTGCTCCTGAAGCTTATTGCCAGAGACAAGTCAAAGGTGGCTCTTCTTAAGTTGCAAGTAAGCCATTTATTTCAAAGTTAGTTGCTGAAAACATCCTTTATGATTTAGGAATTTATTATTGCCGAGGAGTCTTTTGGTTATCATTTATCTTATCTTTGGCTCTTGGAGAATTATCATGTATGATTTAGGATACATATAAAAAGGAGAGGGCAGCCATTTTGTGAGTGAGTATGCACAAACTACCAGTGTGCAGACCATCCCATTCATCATATTTCACTGTTTCAACCGTAAATCTCAACGAACTCAATGAAGGAAAACATATAGGCAGCCAGTAGGAAAGGTTTGAACTTCAGAAAACTCTGAGGAACTAATAAAAATAACCTCCTTCAGGCGTTCTAATTCTGAAGATAAAGAAATAGCCTTCTAAACATCCACAGAAAACAGTATCTGTTATATTATCAGGGTCTCCTTCAGTGTCATCAAGGGCTCGTGTTATATTACCAGAAATTTATCATTATCAAAGAAGGCACCAGAAGAGAAACATGAAACCAACATCCATATTGAATGCTGGGTAAAATACACAGAGTATTCTCAGCACTGTAAATGGTGGATGCTATTGACTACAATGGTCCACTTCAGTGTTATTTACCCTTTTACCCATCAACCGTGTTATACTAATATTATATATGTATATATGTACACACACACACAAAAGAGAAAAACTGACCTTCTGTTTAAAAATTCATTCTGCGTTATATGGATGTATTGAGGAAATTCTTCAGCATGAGGATCCTTCAAAATCAATAGCTTCCATGTCACTTGACTCATATAAAATAACATGTGCAGTAATTGGAATAAGCCTGAAAATAGAGAAAGAAAATGGCGGGAAAACCAAGAAATAGCTACCATTTCGGTATCCAAGGATTGATTTTGAACGACTGTTTAGATGGCTGTCATAGGTATTTTGCAATCCCCCTGCCAAAAATAGGAAAGTTCATACAAGGCACCGAAAAGGAGTGTTCAAATCGGTTATCGTAGACAACTCATGCAAAGAACGGAAGAATTAAATAATTAATCCCCACTGGTCAACCCAAAAAGAAAGCGCTGGTTGCAAGTGGGAATAATGGATCAGAATTACTCAGTGCTCGTCAAAAAAATCATTTCTCCAGAAAAACAAAATTTTGTGAAGCTTCAAGAATCTCCATTTCTCCTATTGATTGTAAGAGGATGAAAAGATTCTCTTTTGTTTTATGTTCATATGGAAAGCTGGGGAGAATTCCTTGAGATTAGGTTTCATCATAAACATAGATGTTACGGGTTGTGCAAATTCACCCTCAGTATCGACATTTGACAGTCAAAACGAAGCGAAGATCAAGAAACTGAGAACCATTTGATCAGTGTTGTTTAACCTGGCAATGAGACATGATGCACAAAGAAACCAGAGATGACAGACCTGGAATGCCACCAATTACCGGTTCCCTCCGGCAGCGGCGAGGGCTTGAGGGCTCAGTTCAGGCCAGGTGGAAGTTAGGTTGAAAGTGGTTAGAACCCCGTCAGAGTTGGGTAGCGAAGCTGAAGACAACCATGGTGGAACTGGAAAAGAGGTTTTTCGCCTCGGACTAGCGCTGGAGCAGAAGGCGGAGACCCGTCGTTAATGCTGAAGAGGCAGGCGGGGATGAAATGGGTTGCAGTCGTCCTCAGCCCAGTTCACAAAATCGAACCAAGGAGGCGTGTGCGCACGCTGGGTGATCCATTTCCATCGGAACAAGCAGGCCAACTATAATACAAGACTCCTCGATCCTGGTTCCTCGGTTGGGGGGGGGGTGATTTTGATGTTAAACGCCAAACCTCATTTTATTTTATTATGTACTATTAGGGGATAGTAAATTCATTAGTTTGGATTAAATAATTTATTTATTTTTTTCAATCTATCCATAATAGTTAGATATCCTCCAATTAGCAAGATAACTAATTTATAATGATTAAAAAATTAGTTTTTTAAGAAAATATATATTATTTTCTTAAAATACTCTTTTTAATCATTTGTATAGAAAAATCATATTAATATATGTAGTTAATAGAGTTTCAAGGAAACATAATTTAGGGAAATAAAGTGAATGAGATTCTACACATAAAACAAGAAAAGAGTTACAATCAAGTCCTAATAAAGAGAAATAATTACTAAAATATTCTAGGGAAAATTGCAAAAAAAGACCTTGGAATTGCAAAAACGCAGATAGGGACCCTTAACAACTTCACTTTAGGTTTTGACAAGAATAATATGTCCTGAAATTGTCAAAACCCAAAGTGAAGTTGTCAAGGGTCCCTATCTGCGTTTTTACAATTCCAAGGTCTTTTTTTACAATTTTTCCAATATTCTAATAACAATTTAAGTAATCTGTAAAGACAAGTTTTAAAATAAAAAATAATAACTTCTGAAACTTATTTTATAACTATTCTCTTTCTTTAGGACTTCATTGTAATTCTTTTGAAAACAAATCTTTTTAGGAGATATCAAAGATAATAGTACACAATATAAGGAAAAAAGTTAATATGCATTACTTATTTGATTCTTTTTATATTTTAGCTAGAAATTTTTTCATAACAGATTAAAATATTTGATTAAATTTTAAATTTCAGTAAATTATATTACTTAACGTAGTTCAAGATTCACTTCTTATAAAAATGTGTTTTTTTAATTCATTCTGCCTAGGTAAGAGATCCTGGAAGATACTTTATTTCTTTTTTTTTTCCCTAAAAACATTAGTTTATGGATCTGACATAACATCAAGAAAACGATCAACTTTATTCAAGGTCAAAAGAGGAAGAAGTGAGTTATAAGTGAAATAAAAGTAAAAAAATTGAGTTGCATCGAGTTCAAATTATAGTTAAAAGACCGAGACATAATTAGATTAATAGTTGAAGGATCAAAACATTAATTTATAAAAATGGTTTTAAAATTCCATCCCAATGTTCTAATACTTAGTCCAAATAAATATCCTATACAATCCAAAGGCAGTCCGGAAAAGGCATTAGACTGCGTAAAAATTATGTATGATTTTTTTTTTTGACCGATGAAAATTATGTATGATTATTATCATTTCCACGTAATCGCAAATCTCGGTTTAATTTTGGAGGCCTAAGGTGAAACCTTCAACCAGGAACGTGGTACGTACTTGTTCCTTTTTCTCCAAGCCTGTCATACTGCTATTAATTTCACATCGAGACAATGCCAAGGGCAAACATCCACCAGAGATCATCTTTTCACCTAGAGCCGGTAATACGCGGGCCCAGCCCGCCAAAAAAGGAGGGCTCGCGTTGGCAATATGCTAGCCCGTCAAGGTGCGGGCTATTCCAGCCCGTACCGTTTTGAGCCCGCTCCGCCGCGGGCTAGCCCGCGGGTTGGTAAGCTGGCCCGTTTTTTTCTTCATATAATTTATAATATAATTAAAATATTTTGACTCTTAAATTCCACATGAACAATTAAACATTGCTTCTTTCATATCATTACATAAGTAATTAAACACTTTATATATTTGTGATTCTGTGTGTAGTTATACGAAGATCATCATCCATATTTTATTTTTCATTTATTTGTTGTGTCACTATAAAAGCCTTTATAAAATTAAATAAACATGTGATACTTATACATTTATACATAAAATATCTACTTAATTAATTTGGATAAGAAAACTAAATTACTTTGAATAAAAAAACTAGTTAAATTAATTATTTATAAAAAAAATATATTAGTTTCTAAATATATTCTTAAATTATAAATTAATCCTCACTTTATTTTATTATAACTCACTACTCAAATTCAAGATTCGAAGCCTAATTTTAACATTTCAAATTAAATTCAACCTATATTGATAATAATATTTTTTTTTAAAAAAAAGAATATTTAGGCGGGCTCGGGCTGGCAAAATGCCAGCCCGCCAAGGTGCAGGCTACTTCAACCCGCACCGCTTTGGGCCCGCACCGCTGCGAGCTGGCCCGTATCCGCACCGCCAACCCGCATTACCACCTCTATTTTCACCCTTCCTCTCTCCTCAAAAGAGCGTCTTTGGTTCGGGGCTGTGTTGGTACTTCCTCAACTTTAAGAACTTTTTTTTTTTTTTAAATTTTTAGATTAGTGTACAAACCTGTTTTGATAATTTGGGTATTCAGGAGATTTTTTGAGTGGAAATTTATATTAAAATTTAAAATCATAATAATTTTATTTTTTATAGTTAAAAAACTAAAGCTGGACGTTATGGAGTGAAATTATTATGATTTTAAATTTTCAAAAATGAATTTGTATTAAAAAAAAGTTGGATATCCAGGAGTTTCGAGAAAAAAATTTTGAAACAAATTTGCACCTTAATCTTTTGTTTTTTTACTAACCAGAAATCCTCTCTGTCATAAAGTGCAAAAGTCACTAAAAATAAGTGAAAGAAAACTTTTTTTTTAATTAAAAGGATTAGTAATAATAATAAAAATTTATAAACGAAATTGAATTTGCCAATGAGAGGTGTTTATATTATATGCCACGGGGTGATATTGGCAAAAATAAACTCTCTTATGGAAACACTTTTAGCTAGTCTTGGCAGGCACTATTATAGTAGTATTCTTTTGATTATTAATATAAAACTCATTTAACTAATTTGATTAGATTAAAAAAGTTAAGTAAACTAGTTAATTATAAGTAATATGACATATTTTTCCTAAAACACCATAATGATTTTTTTTAATACCCCTTTCCCCCTTCTACTTATTAGTTAATTATAGTTGAAGGAGTATCCATAGAGGTAATTTAGAGAAAATTGATAAATATAAAAAATGAATCTTATATTTAGGACCGAAACTAACTTAATAATTAAGTCTTATATTAAAGATAAAAAGAGTATTATTATTACGCGGAAAAAGAGAAACCAACATTTTAAAATCCAGAGGGTAACGTTAAGCTCAAACCGAAGGCCAGAAAATCCAGGCTGGCATTTCGCTTTTGGCCTTTCTGGTCCGCCTTTTTATTATTTTCCCTCCCTTTTATTTATTTATTTATTTATTTTTGGGTTTTTTCAGCTCCGCCACTATTAAGATGGAGCACTATTATTATTGGATTCCCCTCTTTTGAATAAGAGGAAAGGAAAACACATAATAACAATTTCATTGAAGAAACTCGAGCCTGGTGATAGAGAACGCACTATCTCCATCAGAACCGTTAGGATCGTGCCACTTAAGAGTTGACCCCACCGAGATGCCGACGTGGAAGGAGAGATTTCGAGCACAAATGGAATGGCAAAAAGGTAATTTTGCCGTCATGAATTTTTTTTGCAGGAGGATTCACTTGAGGATGGATTGGGGGGTGACAGTGACGTGAGATGGAAGGGTTCTTCTTCTTCGTCTTCTGCAATAGTATTCGTTGGCGCTATATATCGGCGCAGGGGAGATTTCCTCCTGAATATTCTTTAGCAAATAAAAAGCATGCTCGCAAATTCCAAACTCAAAATCAAAAACCACCATCGTTGAGATCACACCTTTCTCTCTCTTCCTTCTGAGGTTTTCCCCTCACGTTTCTCCCAAGCCCCTTCATTTGGTTTTTCTTCTCTCATCGTAGCGTTCGGATTTCGCCCTTCAATCGCTTCAGCGAGGATAGTCCCTCACCAGTTGGACTCTGATTCTCTTGGGGTTCTATTGAGGGGCTGTTTTCTGAATGCGCGAATGCCAGATGAGATAAACACTCGTTGCATGTATCGGGTCTTTGGCTCTTTCCCTGCATAGTGTGAATATTGCGTAAGATTCTTCATGGCAAAGCGTGTTTACCAAGTCTGGAAAGGGAGTAATGTAATGTTTAATTCACCTGCTTCTTCCTCTTTTTTGCAAATTAGACTTTTGATGCTTTACTTGCCTCTTGGGGATGCTCTTTATTTGTTGATGGGCAACCTTGTGGTTCCTTATAGATTGGGTGTTTTGGAATGATTCTAAGAGCTTAAGTGTGGTTTGAGTTTATGGTCCTTTTGGTTGCTTAAAAATGGAAGACGGAAAGTTTTAACTCGGACGATGATTTCGGCATCATACACTGGATATGTTGAGCTCCTGTGAGGTCATGCGTTTTGTGAGTTTTACTACTTTGAATTAGCAGTTCCCTTCCTCTGCCCATCCATTGTGTTTGTTTTTGTGCGGCGGGTTTTGGGGCTCTATGTTCTGCCTTACTTCCTGTCAGACGAAACTTTAATGATGCTTTGGCTAGAGGAGTTGGTTGGACATAGCATTTAATGAGGCCATTGGATTTAGTATTGACCTTGGTTTCTGTCAGTTTTCTACTTATTTACGTTGTTTCACCTTTTTGCTGAGAAAAGGTACTGGAGATTCAGAAGCAGTACTTAATTAGATGCAATTGTTAGCCTCACCTTGGCAGGCTGCCTTGTATTTTGGACAAATAAGTATTTAAGATATTGAACTTGACTAATCTGGTGTTTTTTTCCTTCCATTTACCTGACATAGTTACTGAGTTTTTTCTTTTAAAAACATATTTGAGTTTATCAGAAAGGTAATGAAACTGAACAAGGTAACGTTGCAGAGGGTTTGAGTAATTGTCATGCTTTATCTGCTCTAGATGATGTTTTGTTTCTTAAAGAAGAAATCCTTATCTGGTAGTTTGGAATATAATCACAGCCAGCATCTTTTCATGTTTATCTTGAAACTACTTTATACACTTTTAGGTGTTTAGGCTGCAAATAAGTGTATGTTTAGGTTATGGTCCTCATGTAAATATTTTATAAATTTCACGCGGATGTTCTGCTAACATATTTGGAGTTTGGACAACTAGAAAAATGGCTTTTCTCTTGTGGATTTAAAAAGTGAAGAGACAGAGGAATCATGTGATGGATATGCTATCTAACTCTTTGTTTAGAATACAATTATGGCAAATAATTTTGTGCTCCCTTGGTCAAACCACCCTTTCGAGTTCTGACAGATTAACTATATAGTTTACAAATAGATTGATGAGTGATTGAGATATGATGTTTTTCCCCCTAACCTTTTGTTATTGGTTGGAATAGTTTAACTTAACATGGGAGTAGGATCAAGGGCCATGGAGGTGTTCATGCTATGATATGTAACTTTACTCTCGAGGCTTGTGGTGGAATGGGGTATTTAAGTTTGACCAATATATTGTCTTCAAATGACAAATATAATTTATTTTTTAGCTTTTGGGAGACTTTCTCTGTAACTTCTGATACTTCCTCTTCAAATGATGTTAGCATATTTTGATAATTTATTGCACGTTCAGGAGCTAGTAGTTTATTATCCATGGATTTTTATAGGATGTGAACATGATCTCTTCTGTATTGCCTTTAGTATTTTCATGCCTTCTTTTGTCTCTTGCTAATTAACGTGCTCTGTCTAAGTGTTAACTCTTCTCCTAATCATATGCAGAAGTTCATTTGTGGAGGGAGGTTGATATTTGGGCCTGATGCTCGATCCCTTCTTGTCACGTTGTTGCTGATTACCGTTCCAGTCATCATCTTTTGTGTATTTGTAGTGAGGCATCTTCGGCATGAATTTTCATCGTATGATGCAGGATATGCTATTCTAGTTATGGCAATTCTCTTTACTATTTGGGTAAGTTTTGTGAACCTTTTCCCCTCATTCTTTTCTATTCTGCATTTGATGAGTTGGTCCTTGCCATATGCACGCGTGGATCCTGTTTTGTTATATGCTCATGGTTCAAACGCTTCAGTTTACCATGTTTTCAAGACAGCTCTTATTTCTTCTTTTTTTTCAGAAAAAAAAAGAAGCTTAATTTTAATTATATTATCAAGGTTCCTCTGTTAGTTTTCCACTCATCTCGCTATACTGCCATTCCTCCCTCATTCTTGAACCTTTTAAGCTGACAGCTTGTGCCAGGGATCGAGCTTGTCATTGATGAGTGATATTTTGTTTTCTCCTGAACTTCTGTATGATTGAATTTTTTACCCTCTATAGCTAGCATGTACAAGTAGATGACTCTATAAAGCAAACTAATTTCTTATAACCATAAAGGAGTTGATCCCAAATACTATGAAAATATAAAGATGAAGGATCCCTAAAAGTGGAAAGAATTTGAACAGATATTCAAATAAACAAGAGAGAAAAGACAAAAAGAAATCATGGCTGAGAGAGCTAGTGCGAAGCTCAGCAAGCTTCATCCAGAGTGGGAAGGGCTGATGCCCTCATAATGTTCCATTATGCAGCCACACTTGAGCCCTAAAGATATTATATGGTGGAAAGCTGAACTGTTTCCTTTGAGAGGCAATACAGAATGCATCTTTGAGCTATACTCTTGCCCAGTGTCCACCAATCATCGGGGCCTGTTATGAATTAATGCCAATGCACCTGTTGCTGCTGCCTATTTCTTTCTTTTCTTTCCTTTTTTGTCAATCTTTTTTAAATTTTATCAAAATAATGTAGGAAGTTGCCTTGATTATATTTTTCTGTGTTTGAATTATGCTTCTTGTGAAAGTTTCATATCATGATTGATTTTTCATTTTTTACCTAATCTTTGTCTGGTCTCCTAGGGTTTGACGCAACATAATCCCTATAGTCTATGTTTATAGGTTCTGGGTATTCTCTTTCTTACTTCATCACGTGATCCGGGCATTATTCCAAGGAATTCAAATCCACCAGAGGAAGAGTTTCGTTATGATTCTTCAGTTTCTGCTGATGTAGGGGGACGACAGACACCAAGCCTTCAGTTCCCTCGAACCAAAGAAGTAATGGTCAATGGCCTTCCTGTAAGGGTGAAATACTGTGAAACTTGTATGCTGTATCGTCCTCCACGCTGCTCACATTGCTCCATTTGCAACAATTGTGTTGAGCGTTTTGATCACCATTGCCCGTGGGTTGGTCAATGCATTGGATTGGTACAATAACTGACTATCATAAGAATTACTATTTTTTATGATCTTTGTTTTCCTTTCTGCTGATGTTCTGGACTATTGTTGTTGCATCTTATAGTACTTTATTTGTCTTTTCCTGTGTGCAGAGGAACTACCGTTACTTCTTTCTGTTCGTATCTTCAGCAACTATCCTATGCATATATGTATTTTCCATCTCAGCTTTCTACATTAAGGTTCTTATGGATCATGGTGATGGCACAGTTTGGATGGCAATGAAAGAATCCCCCGCATCAGTGATAATAATGATTTATTGTTTCATCGCTCTGTGGTTTGTTGGTGGACTAACTGGTTTTCACCTATACCTTATCGGCACAAATCAGGTCAAATCCATTTCTTCTTACATTTCTAGCTTTCTTATCTTTTTTAATTAATTACCGTTTAGGGTACCTTAGGGTACCTCAAGGTTAATATTTAAATCTTTGGTTGGGATTCGGAAGTAGCTTCATGATAGTAAATTCCTAATTCCACCAGCGATGCAGGGTGGTTGGAAAACGGACAAAATCATGGCATAGCCCATAATAGTTAATTGATTTAAATAACATATCCACATTAAAATCTCATATGTTTTAACTATTTCATATGAAGATGGCAGCCCAAAATTAGGCTGTCTACTTAGTGATGGAAGATGATTATCTGCATACACCTTCCACCTCTGTTGTAATTTTGAAACTGTCATGTGCGCGCACACACACACACATATATGGAGGGGGGAAGAGAGAGAGAGAGAGATGTTGTCATCATGTTCCCAGCGTATCTTTTGAGTGGGGTGTTAGTGAATGCTTGGTAGGATGCATCATATTCCCAATCCATATCGCATATGATTGTATGGTTTGCTTTCTGGAAATTGATCCATGAGTTGTCACAAGAAGATTCTGATCACCAAGATTATTACCCGTTTTTTGCAGACTACCTATGAAAACTTCCGGTACAGAGCTGACAACAGGGTTAATGTTTATAATCGTGGTTGTTTAAATAACTTTCTGGAAGTATTTTGCACTAAAGTTAAGCCCTCCAGAAACAATTTCCGGGCCACTGTACAAGAGGAGGTTCAGAGGCCACCGCCTCAAGTCAGTACCAGGGAACCTGAACCTGAAGACGTGGTTGGAGAGCCACGTCCTAAGGTTGAAGATGATCTAGATATTGGTGAAGATCTATTGAAGATATCACAGCGTCGGGATATTGAAGAAATCGAGGAGGACATCCAGAGTAGAGGGAGCAATGGACCTCCACTTAACACTTCGGAGGCTGACTCAACTTTGCAGTCAGATCACCGAGCTCAGACAATTCGGTCTGATGCTAGGCACTCAAGTTGGGGAAGGAGAAGTGGGAGCTGGGAAATTTCACCAGAGGTCCTTGCCAGTTCAAGTGTCACTGAAAGCAGAAGCTATGTTGCTTCTAATGAGGTGCGCCAATGACCTGTGGTTTGATTTTCTGATGTTAGCATGCCATCAATATGAATGATGTGGGTTTTACCTGGAATATTGTGAGAGGAAGAGGAGACCTGATGATCGGAGTTTATGGAGCAAATGGAATTTGAATTGATGGAAAGGTCTGGGTGCAAAATCTGAGTGGACCACCTTGTGGCAATCCTCTGGCTTTGTTGGAAAGCATAGAAATGCGTGTTTTTATTTGCCTGATAGTTTTTTCCTCTACGGTTCGATATGTGGCCGGCATCTACGCTGCTGGCTATATTCTTTGTGTAAATAACCAGTTGTGAAAAATGCTAAAAATTTCCCTGCTTATTGGGTTTTAGGCTCTATGTACAAACTTGGTTACCAAGTAAAAAAATGCTTTCATCCAAGCTGTTGATATGAAGTGGTCTTTTCTTTTCTCTCTCTTTTTTTTTTTTGGGGTGAATGAAGTGGTACTCCTCCCCTGTTTAATAGATGTTTGTTTTATATTTAAAATCTATTTTATATATTTATTAATTTTTTTAACAATAAGAAAAATCAAGTAAGAGAGGAAGGAAAAGAATTAAGAAAGATGTTTAGGGTCTGTTTGGTTCAATGTGAGGAAGAGAAGGGGAGGGATTTTAATGGAAGAAATGGAAGGGGAGGAGAGTGGAAGGATTTTAATATTATGTTGTTTGGATTTATAAAAAAAGAAGGAAAAGGTTTTAATATTACCTTGTTTGATTCATGAATAGAAGGGAGGAAAAAATATTTTGACATTAACAATTTTACCCTTATTTTATTTAAAATATAGGCATAATAGTTATCGCATGACAAAATATAGGCATAATGGTCACAATATGATAAAATATTGTCATTTCCTTTCAAATCCTCCCAATTTTGGAGGGGAGGTAAAATTTTCCCTCCCTTCCAAAAATTTGTGTGTTGGCAAACAAGGGGAAATTATTAAAATTCTTCCCCCTCCCCTTCTCTCCTCTCCCCTCCAAATCCCTCATACCAAACATATTCTTAGAGTGTTTTAAAAAATATATCATATTAACTAATTTAATTAATATTTTTAATTTATTTAAATTAATTAATTAAGTTTTATATTAAAAATCGGAAGAGTATTTTCAGTGATAGAGACTATTAGGATTTTTAAAAAACTAATTCAAATACCTTTTGGTTTTGAACCCAAACTAACAAAATCTACATCTACATGCGTACCCAGAAATTAAAAGAAAAAAAGGGGGAGAAATAGAAAAGTATGCCAGGGACACATATACGATTAACTTTGGGCTCTCTAAAGGACTTAGAAACCACATAGAAATTTGTGTAGTAAAGGAATATGATTATGTAATTAGACTACGAGTTTTTTTTTTTTTTTGAAAAAAAGGTCGTACTATTATTATTTGTGAATGATATGACTTGCTAATCGTCAGTTTCGGAAAAAAAATGTAATGCCATTTAAAAAAAAAAAATCTAAGACAACATTAATGATAATTTTTCCAACTATCATCATCAACTTAATTGAGTAAGAGATGATAATGACATGGGAGAATACATAAAAGAATTAGGGGTACATATATATTTGAAACACTAATGTATTTCTTAATACATTAAAACTTTAACAGTGAGATAAAACAATGGTGGGAATATATTCCATATTTGCTTATTGGTTTACCACCATGACTAAGAATTAAGTATTCTCCATCATATCGTTTCTTCTGGGATGCCGACGATATCCATTTCTGCAACCCCCTAAATTATTTTGCGATATTAAACATAGAAAAATAACAAAAAAGAACTGAACAATAATACATCAGCGTGTTAGAAGAAAATGTTTCCTTTCTGTAAGAATATAATCACATCGTTCTTTATACAACAATTAATTACATGAAGAGAATACAACAAAAAGAAAACATCTTCTGATCCATCTCTCAATATATATAGAATGAGTTTTGAATTGAATTGTTAGAAACTAGTCATATAAATTCCAGGATTGATAAAACCACATCGAATCACAAATATATGCATGATCAGATCTCTGTATATATATAAATGTATGAGATCTTGAGGCTAATGAGGAAACTCTTGTAAGACCAGCTGAATCAAAGATCTCAAGAGCTTGTTGGTGTCATCCATGACAGGAAGAAAACCCTTGGGCTCTCCTGATGCCAAACTGGTTTCACACAATCCAATCTTAACATCAGCATCGTTAAGGCTCTGCTTAGCCGTCGTAGGATCAGCTGTGAAATTTGCATAAGCACCCGTGAAACCAACAATGGCGTCTTGGTAATTCTCTACGCATGTCGTCGACGATGGATCGATGCTATCGGACGTCATCTTGTCCGACATGTAAAGCACCGCCTTCGATGCGACCGCCGCCGACAGCTCTATGGACAGCGTTGACGTGGTGCCCGCCGGCAACGACTCTATGTACTTCTTGTCCTTGCCCTCGAGGATCTTCTCGCACTGTTTGGGGTTTGCGGCTAGATCGCAGATATGGTCTGTGAAGGACTTCGTACCTTTGCTCGATTTCACGATCAAGGCGATTGAGCCGGAGACATGCGGTGCTGGTGAAACGGCCGGTGCAGGAGTGACTGTTGATTCAGACGGTGATGGAGCCGTGCTTGGGGGCGGTGACAAGCCAAGAGACTTGGTAACCAGGTCTTTCACGGCCGGGGATAGCGATGGCATGTCAACACTATACTCATCAGAATCCTGCTTCTTCTTCTTGCCCTTGTGGTGGCCCTTTTTGTGGCCTTCGTCGGAGGGTGTGGGCGGTGATAGCTCACTGGCTGATGGTGGCGGTGGCGTTAGGGTGATGGTTTGGTCTTTGTTTTGCTTTTTCTTATGTTTCTTTCCTTTGCCTTTTGCAAGAGCAGGGTGGAGGAGGAGGGATAAACACAAAAGCATGAGGATCAAACACCAAGCTGAACGACGAGCCATTTCGATCTGTTGTTCTTAATTAATTCAGAAATGGTGATGTATACGTAACCAGGTAATGATGTTTCAGGAGGTTTTTATAAGCATCGTCCCATGTTTGCTATAATTGTTGTGTTTGATTTGATGTTTTATCGGTTTGAAGATGAACACTTTTGGTGGATGAATTGTTAGTTTAAGTTCCGAGGGCAATGAGATTAACGGCTACCGATTCGGTAGGGCCTCTAAACTAATTTTCTCAACTCCAAAAATAGAAATGTCAAGGTCAACAAAACCTCTGTTTTCATATTTGGTAATTCCTATTTTGAGGATTTTTTTTTTTGAAAAAAAAAGGTTTGATATAAATTTGACGCAACGTTAGACTAATATTTAACTTCAATTTGACCAATGCCTTCTGCCACTCAAACTTTTCTTCAAATTTAACTTCAATATTTTTAGAACGTTGTGTCATTTTTCTGACTAGTAAAAAATTTTCTCGTTGTTTTTTTTTTTTACTAAAGTATAGGTATTTGAAGACAATCCTATTCGAAGGATTGTCGGACATTAAATGTGAGCATCTCTCCCAGTAAGAATTCGAACATTGGTTCGTTATATTGTGAGGGACTAATACATTCTGCTAAACCTAACTCCCGTGGGTTTTATTTATCAATTCATGAGAAATAAATTGCAACTGTTTTTTGGAGGATTTGAACCGTCCGAGCAAATACAGAATGAGAATAAAAAGCCCAAAGCCTCACCATATATGAGTGGGCCCATATCAGAGGCGGGCCCAAATGTCTCTGGGCCTCATCGGTAAAACACTGTGAAGAACATCAGAAATTCATGAATGGGAGAAAAGCTCCTCATTAAAAATTTTATTAGTGAAAAAAGATTAAATCAGAATATTAATATTCCATACCTACAAAATATGCAGAGTACTGCTATTTTTTGTGCATAAAAATTTATCATGTTTTTGTTACCAATAAAATTTTTAATAGGAAATTTATCCGATTAAAAGGCAAGAATATGAAGTCGTATTGTAAAAAATTGACTATTTTTAATTGAACAAAGTGAATACATAATACTACCTCCTGTCCTTAATATAAGACCTCGTTTAACTTTTATTTTGGTTCTAATTATAAGACCCCAATTCATTTTGTCTCTCTTATTCATGCATTTTTTTTCAAGATAGTCCTTCTAACAATAGTAGTTTTAGCCAATAAACTTGATTAGCAAGGATCTTTTAAGAAAGACAATACATATTTATTACAAATAACTAACATAACTTATTTTTTTAATCTCCTCAAATTAGTTAACTAGCTCTTATAATTGAGCAGGAGATAGTATATTCCAAATATGACTCCCACGACAAAAATATGATAAGGAAGGAATGCTACAAGTTAATGTATTCAGCAGCCAACGGTCCAAATCATAATTCACTAACACAGACGAAGCACGTTTTTATGGTCCCAACTATTTCGTTTTGAAAAACAAAACAAAAGAAAAATTTCAAACACCTGATTCAATGGTTGGCATGCTCTGAAATTTGGGTGGGACAGAGAGTGTGACTGCTAATAGGAACAGAGGAATTGATAATTATCAGTTAATTAAGGAGACTCTGTGCATCTTGACTTGATCTTTTAATTCGTGTGTCAATGTATATATATGGGGTCACATCTTCATATTCCTTACAAATCATAAGTATTTTTTTTTATTTTTCTCACAAAGAAAGATTTTTTTAAAAAAATTAATACGCCATAATTAGAGACTTGTGGGAGACAAATTAAATGATGGTCATGGACGTTAAGTTGAAAGTTGAGCCATCCACACCATAATTCCACAGAATTTTAACAAGTGACTAGAAAGTGAAACAAAGGGAGATGTCGGCACACTTCTGTCCTTTTTTTTTATTTTTGGGTTTGGATGTCTGATGAGAGAACTTGAAATCATATGAATGTTTTATTTCTATCGGATTACCAAAGGAACCACAAGATATCATGTGTGAAGGTAAGTATAACTATATATTCTATTTTTGATCTATCTCTCATCCAAAAGAAATAATAATAATATGAACTTAAATTGTTAGCATTAGGTCTATGTGAACACATCAGAAAAAGTATAGAGTGCTTCTTTTAGAAGGTATTTGGGTAATCTCAGAAATACTTTTCTACAAATCGAGATAAATTCCTTCATATATTTATCGTATATCATAAAAGTATTTTTAAAATTATAGTTTTGTTTCTACCCAAATACCCTCTTAATTTGGACTATTCAAATTGATTTTAAATGATAATAGTTCAAATTCACGAGGTGTTTGGCAACAATGAAAATGTACTTTTCTGTAAAACGAGACAAATTCCTCTAAATATTTACTCCGTATACCGTAAAAGTATTTTTAAAACCATGGTTTGGTTTCTACTCAAATATCCTCCCAATTTAATTGGTTTTTACATTTTAAATAAGATTTTTATTTTAAGTGATACAGAGATAATATTTGAACAGATAGTTCTAAAAAAATAAATTTAATATTAAAAAATTTTAAATTAAAAATTTTAAATCTTAAACATTCAAACCATCTTTTGAACTTTTCAAATTTCATTGGAGCAATGAGGACTGCAGATCTATCTTGTACTAAGAATAAACTACTCCTGAATTATAAACTAATTGCCGCTTTGCCTTTATCTCTTTTCTCTTTATCCTCCCTCATCCTTTAATTGTTCCCTCCTCTTTATATCATCTTCTTAATATACCATTCATTGGACCGCAAACAAGAATCAAATTTAATTCCATCAGCTGCATGCAGATTCAGCAACTTTTCTCATCTTTAAATAAAATTAACAATAAAATTGAAATTGAAATTGAAATACTCCTTTTCTTTGCAATACACTGCATATTGTAAAGACAATAAATAACGTCTTTGAATAAAAAGAAATTTTTTAGCAGATCTACTGTATCAAATTTGTATAGACCGAATTAACTATAAATAGAATATAAACATATGGAGACCAACAATTTCTGGTATGGACACTCTTTTTTTTGTTTTTGTTTGTTTAAATGACTAACGTATGGTTGTTGTATATGCTTATACATCTATTCATAGTCAATTTAGTCAACAAAATACTTTGACACCAAATTTATTTCAAGAATTCTCTTCACCTGGACGGCGGAGGATAGTTGCCGGTGTCTGACCATGTTGACGTAGGAAAATACGAGGTGTCTCCGCCCTGAGTCTGGTTTCCCGGTGGTCGGAAATAGCCTATTTGCTGACCGGAAGTTAGGGGAAATGAAGCAGGGGATAACTGACTAGAAGGTGAAAATGTAGTGGGAGATGAAGATGACGACAATGATGATGGTGAAAACAACGAAGAAGACGATTGAAGAGCACTCAATTGAGAATTGTAGAGCCATTGCTGCACCAAACCCGGCGGTATCTGCTGCGGCGGCTGTGGTTGCCGTTGACCTTGGAAGTCGCCGGAACTCTGGAGCATCTGGGAGTAATTCCAATAGTCTCTGACCAAATCAGAGGGCCCCTGAAAAGACGACGCCTGCATGAACGGAAGCGCCGCCGGGGACTGCTGAAGGACGTGGGTGGTGGCAGGAAAATTTTGAACGGGCACCGGAACTGCTCTGACGTTTTCCGGAAAGTTCAGTTTGGCTCTGCTACCCCTGAACCTCAATGCGGCTTCGTCATAAGCTCTCGCGGCCGCCTCCGCCGTGTCGAACGTGCCAAGCCAGACCCTTGCCGCCTTGTGGGGGTCGCGAATCTCCGCTGCCCACTTACCCCAAGGCCTCTGCCTCACCCCTCTGTACCTCCTCCTCCTCTCCCCTGTTTCTTCATAGGAAACAGTTTCACTCGACGGCATCACCGGTAAGGCCGAAGTAGCCACCACCGGTGCGTCAGTTGCAGTGATATTCGAAGCTTCCACCTCCGTCACTGCTAATCAAAGACAAATATAACTCACACATACACACTCTTCTTTATGCTTAGAAAACGCCGTTAACTCACTCATACAAATTCTTCATGGTTAGAAAATGGCACTACATTTATATCTTTATCGTATGAAGCTCGTACAGAATCTGTTCGGTGCAATATTCAGGTGAAAAAGTTCTGTCTGATACATGCAATATAATTCATATTGAACTATTCTCTAGGTTACTAAGTAAGATCAAAGTGCGAATAGGTTCAAACAAAACCATTTGTTGTATTTGATTAGACATGTGAAGTGAGAATCAAGTTAACTAATTGCACCTGTTGATGCAGACTCGTTCTGTGATGATGCAGCGAAGTCACCAATGGCGGCTTTGAATGCGGCTTCTTCTTCTTCCTGACGGCCTCTTTTCTGACCTAGCCATGAACCAGAGGCAGAGCCCATAAGAGGACCTGAGGAAGATGAAGAAGGAGACAGACGAGGAGATGAAACATGACCAAAAGGTGACATCATAGGAAAACCACTTATTCCTTGGAGCCATTCATTAGTGTCTCTGTGTCCAGATGAACCTGATGACACCACATGCGTAAGCGCCGAAACCATTGCCGACAACTCTCCGGCTCTGCCATACTCTGACATCACAGGCTCCACGGATTCAGCTATTGTCGTCGTTACAGCCGCCTCTTCAGCTCCGTTAAACCCTGCCGACTGGGACTGCCGGTTGTGAGTACTTCCCTCGCCGCCGCCGCGTTCTGACGTGGACCTCACGAGCTCCCCTGATCGCCGATGGTGCGCCACCGTGAGCAAGCATATGTAAATACCGCTTCTTCAAAAGGGAAAAGGAAGATGTACCCAGGATTTATTTCGCCGATTCCTGAGGACCCTTTTGGTGATTTTCTTAGAAACCGAAGGGTTATATAAGGTTGGTTAGAGAGATCAAACGGGAACGGATCGCCATTAAAATAGAACTCGCAGGCACAAACACCCCACTTCCTTTTTACATGCATGCACGATGGACACCTCCTTTCTAATAAAATTCTTCTTTTTGATATTTGAATTCTTCCAAGAAATAATAAAATCTGCTAGTATAAATATAATGGAAATACTGAATTAAATACCCTATAATTGATTTACCTAAAAATAAGAAATACTCTGAAAATGAGAGGGGAAATTACATTTTAATACTCAGACTCGAACAAAGTTCAAAATTAAATAGACAATGATAAAGACGATACATTTCTGAAAGATTAAAACATACCGTCAAATTTTAAGGATTTCTTATCATGTCTTTCAGAAAATTTATTATTTTATCCAGACATACCGTCGGCACAAAAGTTACTGTACATTATACATTTGGAGATGAATCAATAAAAAGAAAAAAAAAACCTAACTCTTATATGGTCGTATATTTTTTTAAATTTATCATTACTTTTTTTTTTTGCAAACCTAAGTTTATTATTACTGAAATGTTAACATAAGTACAAAATTTTTGAAAACATTACATAATCTCGATGGCGAAGTTTATAAAATTTAGTATTCAATTTTTAAAAAGGGATCGACATTAAGTATTCAGATAATAACTTTTACCCCAAAATATAATTATTATTCCTAGGGCATTCCGTGCAATTTTCATTAAGTATGGGTCATGGGACGTAATTGTCGCTTGAAATAGATAACGAAGTCATGTAACGGGCTGCCGCCTTTGTTAGGATGTTCACACATGGTGGTGGGCTAAAGGACTTTTGACTCAGATTTAATATTTTGGTGCCACGTGGGGGCAAGTTCTGATCCATTGGACCCCCCTGAACACGGTCGGCTCGTTTTGGGATGAAACAAAGTTCATCTTTGAATTGAACTCTTTAATTTGCGCAGCTGAGCTATCTGCCCATAACAAGTCAAAAATTACATTTTTAATTACATTTAGCCTCCTCCGGGTGGCCAATTTGGATTGCTTCATTTTTTTATTTTGGAAACGTGGCATCTTTGTGCACACTAACGAATAAAGGTATTTTGGAAAAAAAATATATTTTGCATATTTATTATCTCCAATTAATTTTATTATCAACGGGGTTCAGTTAACTATCTCTCTCACAAAAAGTGATCAAGGTAATTGAGAGAGGGAAGCAAGCAGTTTTACCAAAATTTGGATGTGCTGCAGATTAGGTAACATGCATGAATCCTAGTTTTATGTTCTATTTTTTTTATAAGTTATTAGATCAAAATTTAGAAAAGAAAAGTAGCATTCTTGGATTCATAGTATAATAGTAGTATATAATTAACCAAACTATGGGAGATTTTTTTAAAATATAATTTCCCAGTTAAATATGCAAAGAAAGAAAAATCAAAACGGAAGGTGCTTGTCTTCGAAACGAAAGAATGTGTGATGGTATATGGTCAAACCACGTCTCTCTCTCTCTCTCTCTCTCTCTCTCTCTGAAATCAGAGAATTGAAGCCAAATATTATATGAATCCGAACTTCATCAGCAGGGCATCATTTAAATTTAATTAACTTTAATTTCTGAACAAAAAAACTTTAGATTTAATTTGCGCGTGTGTTCATAAGGACACTAGCTTCCTAATTAATTAGGATTATTGGGAGATATATTCGCAGGTAAATATTTTGTTACCCAATCTGCTCCCACAAACTGAGTCATAAGTTAAAGGAGAAAATATTTCCCTATAAAATAATAAATAGATAAATAAATGCAAGACGTGTCTATATATTCACCAATAAAATGAAGGGGATATTTTCAAATTGAAGATGATCCAAATACAGGGATAACGCTGTTCGTACCGAATTTTCATTAGGTTTGGTTTATTGTTTGACCTAATTAATCGTAGGCGTTTACCCTAATTAATATTGAACTGATTAATCAGCTAAAGTTTTTTTTTTTCTCCGCACGCTTTTCTTCTTCTTTTTTTGGGTTTATTTTTGCGCGTCTTTTCTTTTTAGATGCTAACATTATATATAGCTGGTAAGACTTCATTTAAACCATTTTTGTTTTCTTGAGAAGAAAAAAATGCATCAATTGTCCTGATTTATAAATACAAGACAATTGTTTTTTTTAAAAAAATAATTCAACTTTTCTCAACAATCTTAATGCAATTTATTTATTTTAAAGTAGATGGTGATTAGAATTTTTTTTGAAATATAATAATCGAGAGAGAAGGGAAGTTGACAACCACATTGTTGAGCTTAATGCAGAAGGAAATAAAATATAAATTAAGTTTCTCTGTACTGTTGCATACATGTATTCGATATGGATTAATGATAAAAAGAGGCTTGGTAAGGCTTGTCCTCGAGATTTCTAGATTTTTAACTCAAATAGCTGTCGATTCATCAGCTTATAAGGATGCATGCTTTTACCATTTTAATGAAACTAGAGATTTTTAATGAATGAATGAATAATATAATATAGATACATGATTTTACCAACAAAAAAAAGCTATTAGGTTTTCTTTTCTTTTTTTAATGAAAATGAAAAATATCAACATCGATTTGTGTCACATAGGCAACATGTTCACGTTAAGCAATTATGGCATGCCTAGCTAGAACCTTGTTTTTTAAAAATAAAACCATTTTTTACGATCAATTTCTATGATTCAACTAACTAATAAGTTATTAGCTAGATCTGAAAAACTTAATAAATGTTCAACGATGAAAATATAAGTGCCTACGTGTAATCATGACAAAGATGCGATAAAATCCTATATGTAATCATAAGAAATTATGAACATCTCAATTAATCAAATTAAGCGCTTCATAAAATCATCCCAACAAATAACTTTCAAAGAATAGGAATAATGATATTATACATGGATAAAGATATATATATATATATATTATATTTCTTTTTTATACCCCCGAAACCGCGCATTCATTATTTTAGACGAAAATACTGTTAATTGTTTGCAAAAATTTACCAGTTGTGTTCTTGGAGTATCATGAAATGCACAAAATAGTATATATTCATAATTATTGGATTAGTACAGGGCTTACACACTACAAAAAAATATGTTAATTCTAGCGGTTATGGTGTTACATTTCTAGCGGTTTTAACTGCTACAAATAACATTTGTAGCGGTTAACGAAACCGCTAGAAAAACAGGTGTTAGAAAAAATTTCTAGCGGTTATCTCAACCGCTACACATCATGGTCAAAACGATAGAACATTTCTAGCGGTTACGAACCGCTAGAAATTATCTGAAGGAGACACATTACTAGCGGTTACAAAACCGCTAGAAATTTTTTCCGGGGAAACGTTTCTAGCGGTTTTATAACCGCTAGAAACGTTTCCCCGGAAAAAATTTCTAGCGGTTTTGTAACCGCTAGAAACCTGCTAAACGGGAATTAAATAATTTCAGTAGAGCGCGAAAATTACTAGCGGTTATAGAACCGCTAGAAATGTTTGGGAAATTAAATTTTCACACCAATTGAATTTTTAGAATGGCGGGAAAATTTCTAGCGGTTCTTAACCGCTAGAAAGTTTGGCGCGAAATTTAAATTTGACGAAATATTTCTAGCGGTTCTGAACCGCTAGAAATGTTTACCGTGCCAGAAAAAAAAATTTATGGTTTTTCATATTATAATTTTAAAAACCATTAAATAAATTATTTTGAAGAATTTTTGTTAATTTGTATAATTAGTTATATGTTACATTTTATATATTCAAATTTTGTAATAAAAATATGTAATTAAATTATGAATGTGTTAAAAGAAGTGAATTTAATCTAACAAGATAATTTAATTGAATATTTAATAAGATAGTTGAATTGAAGATGATATATTTTGGAATATTGAACCTATAGTATTAAGTTGATGAGTATTTGAATCAGTTGAGGAGGGCATGACAAATGTGGAGAAGAAAAATCTGAAAGGAAAGGAGAAATAAATATGTTAGTAAATTTTAAATAAAAACAAATAAAAGATACAATGAATTATAAAATAAAATTCACTTACCATAGAGTAAAGAGAAAAAATCACAATATGAGATAGTAAGAAAAAAAGAGAGAATTATGAAGAAGAATAGGAGAGGAAGGAAAAGAGATGGAGTAAATGAATGTAGAGAAGATATGGTATTTATAGAGATCAGCGACACATTTGTAGCGGTGTTTTTGTAGCGTTTTATAACATTTTGTAGCTGTTATTCATTTTCTAGCGTATATAAAAGCGCTAGTAATTAGTAGCGGTTACATATGTAGCGGTTATTAACCGCTAGAAAGTTAGTATTTTTTATTTTTAAAATCTGAACGAATTTTAATTTACAGGTATGTATTTTGTAGCGGTTCATAACCGCTACAAATTTTTTCACGATATTGTAATTTGTAGCGGTTATTAACCGCTACAATTACAATTTCGTGAAAATTGTAATTTGTAGCGGTTAATAACCGCTACAAATGAAAATTTTTTTATTTTTAAAAAAATTTTACGAATTTTAATTTATACATATGTATTTATGGACGAAAAATTTGTTAAATAATTTATTTTGGATGCTGCTACTCTCCATCATCATCCGGCCTAAAAGGACATATTTTAAAAAAATTTGTTAAATTTATGTTGTATTTGGAAAAAATTAGTAATTAGTAGTTAATTATTTAAATAATTTAAGAAAAGACGTGTACCTGATAAGTGGCAAATTATCATCTCCTTGAGGAAAGAAGTCTTCAAAATTCGAGGGTTGGAAGGGTTCACTGTCGTAAATAATGTCACCATCACCCATATCGTAAAGATCCCGTGGCTTGAGGTGAACGACCATATTCCAGTCTTTATGTTTCTCGTCCTCGACATAGTAAATTTGGTGTGCCTCAGAAGCAAGGATATATGGCTCATCATCTTCAGATGCCCCCGTATGAATAAGTCTTGAGAAATTGACTGAGGTGATGCCCAAATGGTCAGTAGCGAGTCCCCGTGAAGTTGTCGTATTTGCCCAGGAGCATTTGAACAGTGTCACGGTGAAAAGCTGGTAAGTCAACTCAATAATGTCAATTAGCTTTCCATAGTAAGTGACGCCTCCAAAGCGCATATCGCCATCACTACTGCTA